GATTTCAAGGCTCCCACCGAGTTATGTAGGGCATCAATGGCGACTTGTGCAAGTTCATCGTCACTTCGGCAGTTCTTGATTCGCTCTGCAAACTCGATGCACTGCTGATTCGCTTCTCGTCTCATGTCTTGTTGTTTCTGCTTTACCTCTAAATGTTTCATTTTCTCCTCACGGGCTTTATCCATAGCCTCTTTGTAGGCAGTTTTGTCTCCAATCTGTGATAACTTTTCCAAGGCCTTTTTAGGTTCTAAAGAAACTGCCAATGCACCTGCATTCAAAACTTTAGCGAGCCCATCGACCACGGTTTTCATAAAGCTACCGTAGTCGTCATATGCTTTATATTCGTGTTTTTGAGCCTCGTAATACAGTTCCTCGGCATTTCTCTCAGCCTCATCGGCTTCCCCTTTTAGTTGTTCGGCCTTTTTCAACTCCTTAGCAAATTCCTCTTGTTGCTTGTTCAGTTTCTTCCTTTGTTCTTCTTCTAAACCTTTAAATTTCCGAGTGTCCTCCAGAGCATTTTCTACATCACCTGCGGCTAATTCAAAGTCCTTGTGCAGCTCTTCAGATGCCTTTGCCATCTTCTCAGCCAATGTGGCTAAACCAGAGAGAGTCACGAGCGCCATTTCTTCCAAGCCATCCAAGAGATACTCATAGGTCCCTTTTAGCTCTTGCAGAACATCCCTCGATGTGGTCCTGAAACTGTGAACGGCTACATCCGACTTGCCTGCCAGTTTAGCTATCTTTAAACCAACACGTTCGACTTTAATCTGCAGCTCAGTGTGGCCCGCGACTCCATTATACGCGACACGAATGAATTTGCCGAGATTGGAGAGATCGGTGACAAGGCCTTTCAAGTCTACGTCGCCCAGAGCATCGTCTTTGATAAGTGCAACCAAAGCAGACTTTGCGTCAGGAATTTGGTCAAGGAAAAAGGTTTCTCCTCCAATGACCACGTCTTTCTTCGCGAGGGCCATGATATCGTCTAAAGAAGCAAGCAAATTCTCCGAGCAAAAGATCAGTTCTTGGAAGCAGCTTTTCACGGAATAGGCGTTACCTCATTGTTTCCTGACAACAGTGCCTGATTAATATATAAAGCTAAATATTTGCATGCCGTTTCTGGGAACCGTGCCAATCAGTTGACATGCATCGACCTTTCGTGAACAGAATTCCATCTGAAACAAATAATGAATATCGCAGGTTCGAGCTGCCAGAGTTAGACACAACTTTTCTTGATTATGATACGACCATGGAAAGAGAAAAAATGAAAACAGCGAAAAGAATATCCCTATCCAATTCTAAACGTTGTATTCATAAGCAATGAACCGAGGCGTCTGACATGGGGCAATTTGAGCAAATATTCTTTCTTTGATGCTCAGTGTACCTTGAGGCCTTTGTGTAATGTTTTGTTTGTGGTCACAAAGCTTGTCATTGGACGCGCAATTAAGTTCTCTATCGTAATCTATTAATAGAATATGACGATATCCATCTCAGTASAAAACGGACACTGCCTAAACTGAGCTAATCATATCAGCTAAGGTCAACATGGCAGTCGTGTTGTCGAATTCATTCTCCAAATGCTTTGATCAAGTACAAAACGCTTGTACAGCCATCGAGCAAGGAGAGGCTATTAAAGCAATAGCCATTCTTTCCTCAGTAAAAAAAGATGCCACACTCTTACATAGCAAATGTAAGAAACTTAATCAAAGTCTCCGACGCTCTAGAGCACAAATASAAATAGAAGTCGAGGAACTAACTTCGAAGATAAACGACTTATACAACCATGAAAGGAATTTAGAAAGAGAAAAGGAGGCCCTCGATGCACAGGCGACAGATTTGGTAAAGCAAAGAAACAGAGAGCGAGAATCTCTTCGCGAGGCACAATGTGGGTACTATCAAGCTGAACGCGATCGAGGACATGCTCAAGACAAATACAACACGTTCTTGATGTTTTGGTGGGTTCCCCTTGTCGGCCAGATCTTGTTAYTCCGAGAAGTAATCAATGACTATGCCGGGCAAGCACGCCAGGCTGCATTGCGCATGACTATTTGCAAACAGAGATATCAAAAAACACAAAGGGACATCAATACCTTACGCAATAAARTAGACCAGGTAAGATCGACTAAAATTTTATTTCGGTGAACATACTCAAGAGAACAATCCTTTTCATGTTAAAAAAAAATTGATGAACATATACTAGAGGCTGAGACCGAAAGAGTATACAATCATGAGGAATTGCGAAATATTCCGTTGTCAATGACCAATTATTACTATTCCACTTCATTTTATTACAAGTATTCTTTCTTCTTTCTCCAAACCGAGTTTTTTCCAATTCCGTATATTCTTTTCAATCAAGCCCCGCCTGGGATGTGGTRGTAGTAATGGCGGAGCTCTAGCGGTAGTAATAAAGGTATTGTTAGAGTATAAACACTAAAACTGTACAACGTAAATGCCACTAAATACTGCTTAATTATGCTAATTCTATTGTTTTCTATTGTTTAATAGGCGATAAGCATTATGGCGTCATTTACTACAACTACCAGAATGCTTTGCCAACTTTCTTTTGCAATGCAATTAGTGCCAATTGTTTTATTAATCTCCAAGGAGATTAAAAATCTCAATAACAATGAAAATCCGCAAGGCTCTCTGGTAGTTGTAGTAAAGTTACGTCATTATGCAAACGGCCTATTAACACTATTTTGTAGTAAATAGTGGAAAGTGTTGCACACATTTAATGTTTGTACTAGCTACCATAATTCAAACATACCCTTTCGGTAATCCACCATCTTTGACGCATAGACTTATAATTGATTGAATTGCTATAGGTTGAGAGTGCAATCCAGTTAAAAAATCTCAGCATCAGAAAACTTAAGAGTAAAAGGTATGATCTACACACAAAGCTAGGCAACACGAARGAAGTCCGTGTGTTCTTGCTTGAAGCTACAAGCTTTTGGGGCGATATCGCCAACATGAGCGAAAATGCCAGTGATAAAACTCAGCGACTAGAAAGAATCTTAAATTTTGCTGCAAAGTGTAACAATATCAAGATACTACAGAGTAATGGAACAAGGACTTTGACTGGATCATTCAAGGAATGTTGGATGGAACTTGAAAACATGATGAGAAATAATGACTTTTTTATTTTTGATGAAGAGGACCTCTATGGCGAGCTTGAGTGGCACTAACTGTGAATATTGTAAGCATATATATTGCAAAATTTGCTCGTGTAAATGGAAATGTGGAAAGGAAGAAGTCAAGGAAAACTTGTTGACCACTCACACGGGCAATTTTTCCTTGTCAAGAATTAAACTTGTCAAGGRAAAAACTGCTCGTGTAAACGGCGCTTAAAGAATTGTCTTGAGCTTCATCTGCGTGAGAAAATATTTTTTCTTGCATTTGTGACTTTGTTGTATAATTGGTCATTTGTGACGTTTTTTCTTGCATTTGTGACTTAGATCGCGATCGAGCATTTACATATCTAGCTATTGTAGCTTTTTAAAGGCCTCTTTTGTCAGGAAACACTAGGCAATAGACATTTCCATTTTATTTTTCAAGCATAGACGTCATAGACGAAACTACAATGTATGGGTACTGCATGTGGTGGTAATAAATTATATAAAAATTCATAAGTTTTTGATTGTCTAAGTCGATGCATCACGACGCGAAATCGAGCTATATTCAAACAGCTTAAAAACAGTACAAGATTTKTTTTCATGAAAAARGGTAGATACAAATGCATCGACTAAAAACACACAATACTAGTTTTCAAACGAAAGATAGTATKCCTAGACTATAATATCATGGACATGACCGCAAATATATTGTCAACAATCACTGCTTCAAGCGGGTCGCCTAAAAGTGACAAGTATTAACAACCAGATGATACATTTTCCCCTGAAAATATATTTAGGTTATAGCTAAATTTATTCCAGTATTATTTGCCACAACGACTTACAGGCAATAGCTAATGGCTACATTTCAAACAATATAGCGCAACTAGCGAGGTGGACAACGACTCTTTTAAATAACACTTTACATTTAATTTACCATAATGCAAACATGATTTTCACAGTTCCAAACCAGACTTTTTCGATCAATAAAAGTTCTAAAGTTCTTCGTGTTTTGCACCATCTGTATTTGTTCCCTCATCTAACGTCTTAGCCATGATCTCTTTGTCCTCTTGTAGATGTCGATCGTAGAATACACCTAAACGAGACAAGAGAGTGAGGCTACTGCAAGTATGTGGTAGAAGTGCTAGTCTCTGTGTTCTTGCTCGAAGCTATAAGCGAAAATGCCATTGAGAAAACTAAGTTAGTAAGTTATTAACTAAACACCGACGCAGCTCACACTAGTTTATTGCTAGTTCCCACCACTGAGAAAACTGTCCGACTGCTTTAATTTTGCAAAGCGTAATATTTTCAAGATACTGTAGAGTAGTGAAACAAGGACTTTGAATGAGTTTTTTTCATGTTAAAACTTGAAAATATGATGCGAAATAATGACTTTGTTATTTTCAGATTGCTTGGAAAATCATCATTTCTAAAAGCCTTGCACTGACCTGATTTATCGTCGTCTCTTATTTTCTTGTAAAGTTCAAGCACGTTTGACAAGTTCTCTTCTACTTCATCAGCTGTTGCTATATCTTTAGATTTGGGTTTCAACATTGCAAACAGCTCTCGGGCAACTTTTTCCGATCCGCCAAGATCCTATGTTAATGATATTTTAAATTAAATACGATCAAATTGAAGCATCTGAGTGAATTTGATGAAGAAAATTCAGTTTTGTTGTTGGTTTTGTTTTGATTTTTGTTGTTGTTTTCTTTTTTGTTTTGTTTTSTTTTCTTTTTTTATCCATATCATTAATGGTTACATCTACTATTATCGGCGTGGTTTTTACATATATTTATATATTTACTAGAATAATCATATGAGGAAGTTGATGATCCCATTAAAGAGTGCTCAATACACCTATAGTGTAGAGCTACACCTACTTGCAGAAACGTTGTCATAGAAAATAGAACATTCGAATTTAGTAAAAAGGAATAAATTAAAACAAAACAAAAGAAAGCGTTCAGCCTCAGTGACCTTCTTTTGHYTTTATAATTTATTCMTTTTTACTAAAATACAAATGTCCTATTTTTTTATGACAATGTTTTCGCAAGTAGGTGTAAATGTATATATAGTAACGAAGAGGCAAGATTTTCTGTTACTCCGAGTTTCGTGCTACGCACTCATCAGACAGTATTTGATGATTCATTGTATATAGCTATTTCAAAAAAAGTTGTCGGATAAAATGGCGAATGTCAATTGTCGAACGGCGATTGCACGACMGAAAGTAGCCATGGGTTTTGCTAGTTGAAAGGCAACAACAACTGAYTTGTACTGTAWGATKGTCTGYGRTAAACATTGGCTTCATTTAGTTTCCATTTCTATGCAAGGTGATTCCAATAAGTGAAATTTTGTTTATCAAAACAGTGTAACCATAGTCCCTTTCGGTCGTGCAATCTCCCTTCGACAATCCCCGTTCGCCGTTCTCTCCGACAACGTTTTTTGAAATAGCTGTATTTACTAGAATATATTTTTGAAAATGCTTTTTGAGAATCCTTGATTCAGACATGTACTTTTACAATAAAATAAAATTATTTCTACCTATAAATTACCTTGTATTTTAGTATCAATTTTTGCAAATGGAGTTCTCCATTTCCTTCTTCTAGAGCATCTTGGAAAGCATCTCTAAAATAATGATCAATGAGCTTTGCAGGTTAGAATTTAACAAATCGTGGACGGTTTTAAGTTGAATGTCCTCTTATTAACATGCGCTTTTAGCTTGATGTTCAAACACAAATGGACCCACAAGAGCACAGATACGCTCGATGTGAGAAATAACTCGAGTGTAATAAAAAGTTCATTACGTGGGTTTGGTGTGGAAGTCCACGTCTAAAAATGCAACTGGACTTTTCTTCTTGTTCTTCGTGAATATTTGGCTTCAAATTGGTAGCGCCTAGCGCATGCGTTGCAGATGGTTTACAGTCTCAGTTTCCATGGGGATGTCAAAACTAAACCAATCCTCGTTTGCTTTACATTGAATTCGTATTTTTGTGAGGCAGATAATGAACTGGTATTTAATGAAAGTATGTCACCCCATAGTCTCCTCGCAGCCGTGTTTAGTTTCGGTCACGCGTCACGCAGCCTCTCCACACACAACATTATGGATTTGCCCGGGGAAGTTCCGACAAATAGAAAATGGTTTTTGGCCTTATACCCTTGAATAGGGTATAAAATTGAGTTTCAGTTGTCTATTGATGACATCTTTTTCGACAACAGAACCTGGTTTATGTCAACCCACAAGTCTTAGATCAAAAATTAAGCCTYGTGATCTGCAATCCAGGCACTTTGAATCAGGAATATGCATTCTTACCTCACTTCTTCTTCACCAAACAGGACATGTTCATATTCCTCAGTGTTTGCATAATCAGGATCCACAATATCAGCTATAGCTTTAAGCTTATCCACTGTTAATGCCATGATATCATCCTTATTGGCATAGCCCTTCTTATTTGGGTCTAGTACATTGAACACCTGCACAGAAATGACATTACTAGCTGTGTGTTGGGATACCTGTGTATTGTACATGTGCTCCCTGTGTGGGACACTTGCCTTACTTTCTTTTCTTCTTTTCATTTTCACTTTCCCTTTATTTCATCTAAGTTTCCTTTCTCCCATTTTCACATGAATACTTGAGTTTTCGTATGTTGGATCCTTATGTAGGACACCCCTAGTGGCTTTTCATTCTTCTCTTGTCACATTTCTCTGTACTTTCCTTTCTTGAACATGAAACCCACCTTCCATCCCTCTATTTTTTTCTTTCCTTCCTTCTTAGCTTTCTCTCTTATACAACCCACTCTCCATACCATACTCCCACCTCCCATCCCTCTATTTTTTCTCTCCTTGTTAGCTTTTTCCCTTTACAACCACATACCACATACGACATACTACACTCCCACCTTCCATCCATCTATTTTTTCTTTCCTTCCTTGGGGAACAACTTGGGGGCGGAGAGAAGCGTAGGACCCAGGCCCYGTCTGAAAATCAGGCTATCCTTCTTAGCTTTCTATCTTTTATGAAACACTCCCATTACCACACTCCCMTAAAACTAACTAACCACCCTCTCCCCCTATCCAAAAACATAACCACATGTGACAGGGTCACTTTCGTGACCAATGTCAGTAATTTTTGGATTACATAATTAAGCATTTGTTTTGTAGTTAAAACTGTTTTACTGCAAATTTAAAATATGATTTAGTCAATTATTTGTAATTAGTTCTATTGTTAATGTGTTYTTAGGWTTTTGTGTAATAAACATTGTTRTAAGACCACTCCTTGCATCCTTAGTCGAATTCACTGCTCGCGCGGTCCCGACCCGCGGCGGTCGCGTTGCCTGCGTCGATTGCCGTCGGTTACACACATTCAAAAAAATTCAACTTTTGTGCAATCTGCATTCTGATTTTTGGGTGTTGTTCATATAGCCCCTGCTGTAAAAAAAACAGAGTTATATTAATTAGTGTGCATTTAAAAAAAACTACATCAAAACATAGTTAATAGCTATGAGCAGAAATTCTCATATACTATTTGTATTTTTAAGTTCTTTTGAAATTTGCTCTTTTCTACAAATTGGGGACAGAGTGCACACTAAGTATTTCCRTAAAGCATTTCCGACGGTCTCCTAAAGGAGTCTGTATTCAATCTGTTAATTGTTTAATTTTATCAGTCATTATTTTGGATGTAACTGTTACAAGAGGTGCAAATAAACGATAAATGAATAAAATTGGTAAGCRTGCTGTWTAATTTACCTCGGTAAATGATYTATACAAATAATCCACCGTCATTCTACCATCCTTTGCTAAGTCCAAATCCTTCACATAATTATCTCTTAAAATTAAAATTTATCATTAATAAATCATTAATTAACTAAGTATTAATTTGTTCAATGAATTAATAACTTTCTAATTCAAACATGACTCACTTTAGTTCAAAAGGGTCCAGATTGCCCATGGTTTGTGGTCCGTGTCCAGGATATGTCCAAACCATATCAACATCGCTTAATGGGGTATAGTTTAACACTGCCTTATCACATCCAGTACTATTGAATACAGTTAGTCTTGAAAACAGAACTGACACTGCCATATTCTTGGAGCCATAGGATCGCACTTGATGCCAGTAACCTAGGTGATTGACAACTCATACATTACGACGGTAGAAACCAATGATGTGCATACTATTATAATCATTTGACTATGAACATGTTTGGTCCTTTTTARCCTGTTTTAAAATATTTTTGAATTAAAAGTTAAAGGACAGTAGAAACCTTCTTTCGCACCTACAGACAATTATTCACACAGGTATCTATCATTGCACACTCATCGGTCATCTGGCTTTGATGCAAAGGCACAGCTACCTTTCAAGATGGTCAGGTAACCGTGAAGAAGACACCTTTAACACCCTTCACGGTTACCTGCCCCATCTTGAAAGGTAGCTGTGCCTTTGGTGTGAAAGTGTCATCTCGCTTCGATGCAAAGGCAAGGCTAACTTTCAAGATGGCACAAGGAGCAATAAAGACTATTGCCATAGTGACCATTGGGTCTAGGTATGTACTGTGGGCTACCTGTGTTTTTACTCTATATAATAAATTATCTCACTAAAGCATGACCATATATGGGACTCACTGTATGGTAGATAAAGACAATCTCCAGCTGAGAGGTTTGCATACTGCCAGCGTACATTCTTGAAATCAGGATATTTTATTAAATTGACTTTATCAACGTCCAAGACGGCAAAGCCACCATATCCCTTGTCACCTTCAGCTACAGGAATCTAAAAAATAATTCCTTTATAAATTTCTAGTTTAATTAATTATTGATATATTAATATTTATTACCTTTTGAATGTAAATCAATGTGTTAAGTTTATGTCAAGACTCCTAGATAAATATAACTGCGTTTTGATTTTGTTGAATATTCATATCAACAAATGGATAAAAACAATTTTAATAACGCTGAAGCACATGTTTTAATGAAGCACTTTCAATGCAAATTGACACGATAAAACAGGAACAGTTTACACTAAATTCCCGAATCACGCGAATATAACTATACAGCGACAAAATTATATCTAAACACAAATTAATAAACATTAAAATATACAAAATTGAAACCTACATTTTCTTCATTGTCTGGATGAATTAAAATCCAATCTTTGGTACCGTTAAGAAGACAATTGATGGCATTATCAGCGTCTTTGTGTAACATACTTTTTGTACCACCGGAACTCAACCATAAATTCGCTTCAAGAATTCTTTCAGAAAACGTACCACACATTAAACAAGGCAAAACTCTCACTTCTTTGGCTAAAGGGTCAGGTAATTGCGAAACCATATAGCTGTCTTTTTGAACGTAGGTATTAAGAAAACTTTCAATGGTGTCGCGACCGACTCCACGATCCCCAACTGGTGTCTTTTCTTTTTCTCTTTTCGCCTCGAGTTTGACTTCTAAATTCCCGTAGTTTTGTTTGAGGTAGCTATCCGTCCATAGTGAGTGAGCTGGGAAGTTTTTTCCTGCGCCTCGAAATACTACAGGCTTTCGAATACTTGCGTACTGTTCCCAAAAATGTTTTGGAGTTGGGATCAATTCTAGGACATCAACATGACCGTCAGAATCGCGATGCTTGCCTAGCTCTTCCCCGTGGCCTTTAGGAAATGTTTTTACATCTGAGGATAAGCTTGAATGTAGTAAGAAAAAGAAGAGTAGTATGGGGCTGTAAATTATCGCCATTTTCCGCTTTCAATAACATCTCAAAATGCAAATTTAATAGTTGAATCAGCGATGCTTGGATGTTATTGTCTGCCAGGCGTTCCTTGGATACAAAGACACAGGAATCCCATCACCTGTTTATCTCGAGTTTATTTTGACCAAGGATTAGTCTCCTCGCACCCGTTCTTTCGCACCCGTTCTTAGCCCGCCACTAAGAACGGCTGCGAGGAGACTAACCAAGGATATACAAATTATAAAACACAATACRTATAAATTAAATATCTTTAACTTGATATCATCATTAATGGAAAAGAGCTTTTCATAAAAAATAACATTTTCAATAATACAACCCGTAACATTACCTGTGACTTTACACAGATTTCAAAAAGAGTATCAAAATTACTAAGTAAATCCTATAGAGCAGCGCTCTAATAACAATATCTTAACTGATATCTATTAAAATGTAAAAGGTGTACCTAAAATTTTATTTTGTAACTCTAAATGCGAACAMAAAGGTTTCGTTATTTTAAAAAGGTTTCGCGGTTATATTTTTTCTCCGCCAAGAAAGCAAGACATTTATCTTTATGCTAAAGCCTGGTTGATTTCTAAGCAAGAAAACGTGACTACCTCATCAACTAAGTCAATTTGTAGTCTGATGATTATGTATACAGCTTTTTCATTAAATACTGAAGATAGTGTATTCCAAGACATTCGACATTTTCATTTACCAGCTCCATGCAGTCAAAAAAGTCAAAAACGAATAAGAAAATAACTTGAGCATTGTTATATTGATCGTTTTCACCCATTCCCATGAGATTCAAAAGATAAAAGACCGGCGTCTATTTTGGAGTAATGAGCAATGAATGCCAATGAGAATTTTTTTGTGAAAGTTCCTCCAATATGGCCGCTGTGACGTAACCAGAAAACGAATTGTTACGCCACCGACATAGAGTTTACTGGAAATAATGCATCGAGGTCTTGGAATGTACTATATGTAGTCTAAAGTGATTGTATTCAAAGTCTTCTTAAATATAGCTGTACATTCTCACGTAAATTATCGCGAATTGCCTACGTTTGACTTGGGATGTTATCCACTGCCCATTTCCAGTCTAATGTCTAAAATTCTGGAGACTCTTCGCTGCAACGAAGCTTTTCAAGTTCAGAATCATTTGACTCGAATGTCTTTTTCATATTTTCGATGTCTTTATCCAGCTTTTCCAACTCCACATCTACCTCATCTAAAAAAATACAAATGAAATCAAATGGCCATTAGTTCGTGATGATTGTATAACTAATTATCCCCTTATAAAAATCATTGGGATTTCTGAGATACGGCTCCGCTTACAATAATATCGAGGGCACGCGCAAACTATCTGTTCCAAAATTTTCTTCGTGCGAGCACTTGCCGTCTTTCTGAAGGCGCAAGTCYATTTCAGAAATCGTCTATTTTAATCAAATCAAGCCCCTCTTATTTGTACTGAGTGCAGAAGGCTCGGTAAGTTTGGCACAACTAGTCCGCTCACAGCTTCAAGCATTCTTAGAATGCACGTTTAGCAATTTCCTACCTGCCAAACAAGGATCATTGCATGCAATCGCACTTCCTTCCAGTTCCTTCGATGATTTCGTCTGCGGCTTTTCTTGAGATAAATCACTGATTGCCATGCTATTACTGCGCTGTGTCATATCACTATCATTCTTTGCGCTGTCATTACCATCGACACGAGAAGGTTGAACGAACTGCACTTTCGAGAGCTTAGGCATTTTCTTATGCGCCTTGTTCTCCGATGAGTCCGTCTTTGACGGTGGTCTAAAAGATGCTTTAATAAGCTTGGGCATTGGTGTTGGTACGTGTACGGTCTTTGGTTGCTGTGGTTGATTTGGAGTGGTCGTCGTCTTACTTGAGGAATCTTCTTGTTGCACGGACGCATTTTTAATGGATTTGCAGCCCATTTTATTCATTTTTTCTTTGTCGACGCTTATTTGAGTACTGACTTCGTTTGGAGCTCTGATCATTTGGCTTTTAGCCTTCGGTTCTTTGSTAGTCTGTTTCTTTGCTTTTTCACTGATTATATGTTCTTTGATCGGCTGTTTTTTGATCATTTGTTCTTCGCATGTCTCTTCTTTGATTAATTGTTCTTCTATTTTCTTGTTTGTGATTACTTGTTCCTTAACCATCTTTTCTTTTTGTTGATCGTCAAACGCTTCTGCTCCTGCTTCACTTTCTTCTTGGGTTTCCATATGTAAATTGCGCGCATTATTTTCAGAACTTGATGAGATGGTGTCATTACCCTTTTGCTTCTGCTTTGGTTTAATCAAACGAGGTTTCTTCGGCGATTTCGTTTGCTTGGCTTCATGTTTTTCATCCAGGACGCTATCCCCCTCGTGGTTTTTCAAGTATGTACCTTCCGCCTGAGTTACAAAAGAAGCTTTTGGGACCTTATGCTTCGGTTTTTTTGAAGAAGACACCAAATGTTGTTTCTTCTCCTTGTTTGTGTTAATGTCGACTTCACATTGATCATCTAAGCTCTCTCTCTTGTCATTTGGTAAAGATTCGCAATCAGTCTGAGTTACAAAAGAAACTTTTGGAATCTTATGCTTCGCCTTTTTTAAAGAAGGCACCAAACGCGGTTTCTTCTCCAACGAATTAGTTTCCTTGATTTTATTTTGCTTCGCTGTTTCTTGCGTTTCTGAGTTTGGCTCGTCAGTGGAGTTTCCACCCATTTCAGTTGTCACAGGAGAAGACACAGAAACTGTGGCAGTACTTGACGAAATGGGAGATTGAAAAGACGCGACCTCTTGTTTTACATTCTCTAAATAAATAAAGAAATCCAATTCAATCAATGAAATAGTATGTGTTATTGGCCTTGTCAGTTTTTTCAATGCAAGATTGAATCATATCAAGTATTATTAAGAAAGATGTAGCGTATTTAGTTTGCAATATTATCAATAAGAAGAGACAGGAGTATAGTCTTAACAGAATATGGACGACCATTGAATAACATATGAAATGTCCTTTCAAGGGCGGATCCAAGGAAGGGCAAAGGGGGGCTGGAGTTCCCCCTTGGGCATAAAACGTTGACTGCTTTTTATTATTTTCAATGTTGCTTATAACAAATAACACATTTAGCTCCCCCTTAAAAAATTTCAGCTGGATCCGTCATTGCCTTCAGGCTTTTGTTTCATGATCTCTCTTACCATCCAGGGACTTCTTAGGCTTCCTTCCACGTTTAGACTTTTTTTCGTCACTTCCCTTTGGAGACTTCGAAGGGGTTGTCTTGGCTTTCTCATCTCTTTTAGGCGCTTTTGATCCTCCTCTATTACTTTTTACAGCAAAGTACTCCTTTGGTTTGGGCTTACTAGGGCCTTTAGCCTTATTTTCTATTGGAGGTGTAGCTTTCTTTAACGTTGGTGTATTGATTTCATCAGAGTAGTTATCATTGTTGTCACTGGCTTGGAATTCATCACTCAATTCTTTGAATAAACGATGTGTGAAAGAGGTTGGTTTATTAATCAAATTCAAGGAATTCAAGGGCGTATGAATGATTTTTTTTCTTGGGGCAGCGGGGTGGAGGATGTAGGACTGAACACTGCAAACAATAGAGCGGATTCCGTATGAGTTACGCACAGTTACCGGACCTGACCTGCACAATTTTAGTGAACCAATGGGGCACTAGAATTTGGTTACAGTACGATTACGGTCACCGTATAGTACCGTCCGTTTCCCACTCATACGAAATCCGCTCTTTTACAAAGGAGATTAAAAAGGGGAAGACAATAGAGGGAACAAGGTGACAGTACTCATCCACTGCACCAGTCGCCTGAACGCCCAAAAGCTTGCACAGGATCATCATGATTAGTCATTGGTCAAATGAGCCTCAACCCTTATGACGTCATGACTATTTGACGAATTGCGTCATGGTATTGATAAAGAAAAGATGCCGTGTAGTGGACGATTATCGATTTATTATTATTTGACATATTTACCCATGAAGATATCAAGACTKTTTGGACTGTCTTCAAGTAGGTTTTCTTCTACAATGCTCTCTTTCTTTTCAGCGACAATTGCTTTCGTTTTCTTTTCTTTCGGAGTCTTGACCTTCCGAGGACCCCTTATTTTGCCGCCATATCTTTGTGCAAACCCATACACTTTAAGTCGCTCCTATAATTGCGAGCAATAAGAAGATGAATATCATCATCGGCATCATTATCATCATCAAGATCATTACTTTTATCGATACTTTTAGGAGACAAGACTCAGCTGGACCTTTAGTCCATTTTTTTCTTACCTCTGGCGGAAGGACAAGAGCCTCTTTCGCTTGCTCGGTCGCTTGGTCAAGCTTTTTCTTGTAGTTCTTCCCTCGGAAGACGACCTTAAAAACGAGATAGAAGTAACATATTTTATCATATAAACTTCAATGAAATACAAGGAAATCTCTAGCACGAAAAGGTGATATCTTCCTTTGCTTTATCGAATGGAGATGACTAAAAATCATAGCAATAGAATAAAACTAGTACTTACGCTTCCTTGTTCTTCAGGGACGTCATTAGCTCGAAAAGGACGAACATTATGTTGACTTATCCACGCTCTGGACACTTCTTTATCGAAGAACACGATATGGTAGCTAGTCTATGAAAATGAAGTTACAGTGGTATCTCTGATTAAACGATCAATCTAGTAACTTTCAAAAGCGTCCGCCTAAAGGAGGGTGAACATCTCTAGCCCAAGTCTTCACGAATAAATGTCAGCGGTCTGCTGACACCGAAAAGCTTAGGAGAGCTAGTATCGACTGAATTTTAATAATTTGCGAAACTTTGCCGTAAAATATTTTCCAGTTTAGATCTTTGAAAATGCAGAAATAAAAAGAGGCTTAGAAAGAGTTTCCCAATTGCAGGTCATTTCAAGGACTTCGAGGGGTACTGTAGCACGAGCCCTGAATGATATTAAGAGAAGAAAAGAGCGCGAGTGCTAGCTAAACAACTAAAAAGCAAATGCATGCGCGATGCAATCGGTGATATTAGGATAGTATCATCCAAGTGATGCGATGTACGTTTCAAAACATATCTAGCATTGCCAGAGCTAAAACGGAGACGTGACCCTGTTACCGCCCTGTTATCAAACCGCATTCCTTACTGGTATTCTACTGTTGTCTTTGTCAGCTTCACAATAATATCCATAATCTGGATCATCCTCCATCATACCTGGCCACCTATCAGAACATGGATACGTATTAAGCAAATTGATTTGGTAAAGTGCCTTAGTTTTGTTCCTTGTTTTTCCAAAAAGGTAGGCCAATTTTTTCTTCGTTTATACTAAATAATGTTATTCGTTGTTTACCAAACATGGTAGTCCAACTAGTCCTTTGTTTTACCAAATATGGTAGTCACTATTGTTCATGTCTTTTCTAAATATGGTAGAGCGATCTTTTTACGATTACAACGAGAATGTTGTATTTTCTAAAGATTTAGAAGTATTCTATTTGTTTCAATTTTTTACAAATCCATAGCATACCACGGATATCCTGCAACTTTTGCCCAGACAATAGAACCTTCCGGAAATGACGTATAGATGACGTCATACTCAGAGTCTTGACTATCAAAGTCTTCTTGGATGGAGTCACATCTATTGAAGTTAATGTCTAAAGGGACCAGCAACGGGCGGCAAAATTAATTGAATTGGATATCAATCAATCAATGAGTTTTATCAAGGACTTCAATCTTTCAACAAATCAATTTTTGATGATGACTATTAGTCGAAAATGTTTAATACATATATTTTTGATTTTCTTATTGTAAATACTTATGATCCTTATTTTTATTGTATATCAATTTAAATAATTATCTATCAACTACACATGAATCAAAGAATCAATCAACAATCAATCATATTCAATCAATCAATCATCACTCAATCACGATCAATAAATCATCAATCAATCATTATCAATCAATCAGACAATCACTAGACAGTCATATCTCAATCAATAAACCATTCAATCAATTAATTGCAGAAATTATAGYATTCAATTACCTGGGTTCATTGCACAAACCCACTTGTCAGCCACATCATGTGCATCCACTGTGATATTCAAACACCGCCATTTACCACAATCTGGACGACAGCACTGAACCCAAGACCCAATCCTTTGTTTCACATCTTCATTCTTATCATAAAAATGAAAACCAATTAATAAAGAAAAACTTAACAATGACAGAGGGGACTTAGCACCTATTTTGTACTGCTTAAAGGTTGTACTGTTTATATAAGTGTACTTCAATATGAATGATTCTTGTTCTTATGATCACTGTGAAAATGGATTTCTCACCTCTTCATCCTTAATCACACTTTTTATGTTTCCCCCTGATTTTCTTTTCTTTTTTACTCCAATAGGCTGACTTTCTGCCATACTTTCTGCATGCAAAGTCTTTTCTTCCTAAAAACATCAATTTTTAAAATGATACAATTACAATAATTAGTACCTAAATGAGGAAACATTGGCTGCAGCTTTAAAAAGGTTAATTGATTGAAGAGATTGATAAGATCAAATAGATGTCACATAGAGGTCCATATATACCTATCAGATATCACATAGATTGGAACATGAAAGAATCGTTACATGAGAAAGTATGTATAGTAGGAATTTAGGAATTGCCACACATTTATATTGAACATGATTACAGACAGCAGTGTAAAAAATGCTGAAAAAAATTCATTTTGGCCCAAAAAAGGTGTTTTTCTAGACCAATTCATGAGGGTGTGGCTGGACACAATCTTAAATGAACCTCCTTTAACCAGATCTTCCCATAGCTCTATATAGGTTAGATATTCCATACCTCTGTACTAGGTGATCTATCCACATTATCTTCAACAGTGTCACATAGTTCTGGGTAGAGATCAGGAATGGGTTGACCAAAGTCTTCGTTTGATTCAAAGGAGGTGTTTGAAGGAACTTTGCATTGTTTTTTATATTCCTATGGTGTTTAAATCACAATAATGTTTTTTTAAAGAGTTTAATTATCATTATAAAAATTAACTGTCATTTCAATAGTGCACTAATCAATGTCACATCTAGTGGAGGGGAGCATCAGGCTTAATACCACAGGCCAAGGGATATGACTAGCTTTTCCATACACAGGGTTGGAATTTTGATCAAAAATCAATTAACTTTTAACCTCAAGATATTGCATTGCTTTATTGCGTTTTTAAGTGGTAAGTGAGAGGATTTTCGATACTGTTTCTTGCAGTTTGATTTATCGATCAAATGAATATGAGATCGCGGTAAATATTGATGGTAAGATCAAATCAAAGCTCGTACCTCGAGGTCCTCGATGAATGCATATCTTCGCTTTTTCTTCGTTTTTTTAGGTCGGCTATCATTTGGTTTTGATTTTTCGTCGTCGTCCCTGTTTTCTGGTATAATTCAGTATAGATTTTTAAAATGAAACTGATGGAAAACCACTTTTRTTTGCAAAAAGCATATCAATTCAAAGAACTGCAGCATTGCAGCAACAAACATTCAAGTCTTGTGGGGCCTTGAAGCAAAACTCCCACTTCTCAGCACAAATTTCCACAATGACTTCATTTAGATGCCATTCATAATTACTGTGGTCACATAATTACCTTCTAATCCAGTAGTTTTAAACGAAAAAGCATTGATTTTTTCATCCATTTTCGTGATGAGCCGATATCACTGCAAAAATGTTTTTGTTTTCGCGCGCTTTTCTGATGAGACCGCGAGCGCAAAATTCTTCCACGTGACTGAAGTCGTCCAATAGGATCACTTAACGAAATCGAAAGAATGAAAATGAAAACAAAATGATAAAAAAAAGTAAAGAGGACAAGAATGGCATCAGCAGTTTTATTAATAAATCCTCACATATCCTACATCACTATAAACCAGTAAAGCTCATATCAAAATGGAAAATATCTTTGGACGCTTCCCCAAGTATAAATATGTTCAAAATGAAAGCACACGACTCTATTTTTTCTCTAGGGTTTCTCGTGGCGGTGATTCTATACTAACTTTCTTACTTTATTCTATTCTTGTATTACCATTACTGTGTTGAAATATTTTATTTTTTCGTTCTATTTGTCTTTTCTTTTGTCCGTTTTCTTTTTTTTMTTTTTTATTTATTTATTAATGTATTCTTTCTTTCTTTTTCTTTTTTGTCAAATATTCGAGTTTGTTGATGAGGTAGTTTTGGTTTGAATTTCATCCCTCTTCTATTTTAGCGTGAATTTTTTCTTTTCTTTTTTCTTTTTTGGTTTGTTTGTTTTTTGTTTTTTCCAAACGAGTAGAATTTGTATCACTGTGCTAAGGAACGACGGTTGACTCTGTAAAAGCCAGGACTATGTCCGGAGTACAACACTGTCGCGGTATTAATTAATAGTGAGGTTGTGTGAAAGTGCCGTCGTTCTACCACATTAATATAAAATCTGCTCCATGCATGAAGCATAAATCCTTTTGATGGCGGGATGGAGGTTCCCATGCATCCTTAGCCTCCCAATTCCCTTACTATTTGTACGTAATCAGATACTCAGGATAGGCCTGGCTGTTCTCAAAAATCACAAAAATACTTGGAATAACCACATCGTTGACGCACGAATCGAACAATTCCCCGTGAGGATTGCTGGGATCTTTTGGGGGCGGTCTGGTCAAATCTCGATTCCCCAAGGCATAGGCCCCAACTAATACTCTAGCCACGAACATATAACGCAGGCTGCCGTCATGCTGTTTAGTGTAACGATGGGAGTAGCTTGCTTGGCAGGCAAAGTAGCTTCCTTTTCCGTAAAGTGTACCATGTTTACCACACATGCGCCAATCGAATCCCTGCTGGCATATTGCATTGCGGACGTCAGAAGTTGTTCCATGGAACAACTGTGTTCGTTCGGCTGGAGGTGTTCCCGAAGCCTTGGACGTCATTCTTCCTTTCTTCCTACGGATAAAAGTTATAGTGTTAGAAAGTTGATAATGGCAGAGGGATCAGATTCGCTGAGATCAAAGAAAATATGGGCAAAGTCTAAAGAATCTCGACCAACCACAACACAGCGCGAGGTCGTGTTTTTGTTTACATACGTTTACATGCGTCAAACATACAATACATAATAGATTTGATAGTACCTGTGAGGTACTTAGTTAAAGGTATTTCTGTCCAAACTGCAAGCATGGAAGACGAATAGCGCTCACTTTAAGAAATCCTACGAATCCGCCATTTTCGTATCAGAATCAGAATCAGTTTATTTGCACAAAAATAAAGATAATATTTACAATGTGTAATAATTAAGTAGAAATTAAGTTAAATTAATTTTTAGGTAATGTATACAATTATGATTATAGTGAGGTAGTGTGCCTAAAGGCTAAGTAAACTGAGAAGTTATCGAGTTAGCCTTTAGTAGTAAATTTCAACTTTAAGTTTGGATGAAAAATGAAAAGGAAGGAAAAAAACTTAACAAATGTAATAATGATAATCAAGCATATGCTTTAAATTAGGAGTGTTATGTTGTGTTATGTGTATGCACCTAAAACTAAAATGCCGCTTCGGCTCGCAAGGTATGGCGGTTGGTTGTGATTCTTTAAGCTAGTGTCTGATTACTCACTGAACAAAAGCAATCCATAAATCAGGATTCTGTATCCTTTCAATTGTAACTATAGTTTTTGGTGTTATCATTGTTTCCTGGAATTTCCGCTCTGCATCATTGTATTCCTGTGAGGTTACAGACAAGGATTCCAGGCAAAAGTCTCCCTTTTCTTCCATAGGAGACCAGTGTGGGGGTAAACTACTCTCAGAGCTTGATGTAAGGGATGAGGTACTGGAACTTCGATTCCTCAGTTTCTCCTTTAGAGCTTCGCGTCGCCTACATGATAGTAAATTTGAATTAAAAAAAAAGTTTTCTCAAAAGAATAATAATCATTGGAGATCTTGTTTGACATGAAAATGAGAAATGAATATTGAATGAGCAAGTGGATGAATAATTTAATGAATAAATAAACCTGAATAAATGATTTGTTGAATGAAAATTACTTGAAGGGAACATCATCAATCAAAGGAAGAAATGACAAATAAATGCAAAAGATGGGAGAATAAATTATTAAAAAAAAACAAAAAAAACAAATGCAAAACTGAGAATAAAGAACTTTCAACCTTTGGGCAATTTCCTTCATTTTGTCTTTTGCAACAAACTCTGGTCTTCTCATGACACCTCTTTCTGTTAAGAACTTGACATTTCGCTGGAACATTTTCTTGTAGTAGAGGATATAACTATGTCTTCCAGCACTGAAACTGTGACTTTCCTTTCCTGAAAAATAAATATGATCATAAAATATAAAACATCATTATGATAGTCGGTGCTACGTTATAAGAGTATAAAACCTCAATATGACCTTAATATGAGTATAAAACCTCATTTTGAAAAGAGTAAAGATAATAAAAATCTAATGTAACAATGACAATAATGGAAAATTAGAAAAAGAATGGGAATGGAATGGGAATAAGATGAGAATGAAATAGGATAAAATTCAATGAACAGAATTTTCTTAATAAAGTTTAATATAAGTTAAACTTTAAACTAAAATTATAATTATAAATTAGAGAGCAATGTTTTTGTGACAACATCAGTCCTTCTTTAACAAATGATCAGTAATTTTGAAACTCTCCCAGTACAAATAGCTGGAAAAATAACTTTTGCAACAAATGAAAGATGTGTTCAAATATTTCAATATTTCATTGACCTTGCAGATAGTCTTTTTCCAATGACTTGCTGCATGTTGTGTTGGCTTCAATCCCACTTCCTGGTGAATCATATGACAGCCAGTCATCATGTTCATCTTTCCAATACCAAAACCAATGAGTACTGAATATATGGCCTGGTGGTGCTTCTTCTGAAGACTGTGTTGATACTCTCCTCAATTTAAGCTTAGGCTGTCCCACTAGTTGTGAAAAAGAGGTTAGTTAGAAGTGCAGAAATCAAGGGGAGGTAGTGGGAGATATTGCCACATTAAATAGTCTTCTTGCGGTTTCCTGTGCCATCTTGAAAGGTAGCCATGCCTTTGCTTTGTAAGTGAGACAACCCTTGTTGAGCGTGCAATAATAGAAACCTTCTTTCACACCTACAGACAATAAATTATTCACAGGTATCTATCATTGCATGCTCAACAGTTGTCTCGCTTCGATGAACAGGCACGGCTACCTTTCCAGATGGCGCATGTAACTGTGAAGGCGACTATTATCAACTAAACTGTAGCAAGTTTGTTTGTCTAGATGCTACTCTTAGGTCTGGTCACTACAATAGCCTAAACAGAAACAAGCTGGCTTACACTTGACTCCAAGGGAAAGACTGAGGTAATTGCAAAGGCATGGCTAGCTACCAAAATGGTTACTAGGAGTACTCAAATTATAACCAATTTTATCAACAATTCAATCTTTACATGTACATAAATTGCAAAAAGGTTGTGGATTCAGAAGGCTTTCGTGGTGTTTTGGTTGCCTTCAGATTTTTTTTTTAGGCATACTTTTGCATCTCATTAGGTATACCTTTTTGCAATTGACTGTATAACCATGCAAAACATTACTCTATTTATAATCCACTTACTAAGAGGATCTGCCACCATTTCATCAAAACAAACTTGGTAAGGTTTACCACTGATGTAAAAGGGTTTCACTGTGGAACTCAAGCTACAATAATGGTCTTCGGCCATTATAYTTGAATCCTCAGGAAAGTCCAGCCAGTTGCTGGAATATTCCTGGTATTGCCATTGGTATGGAAGATCTCTGTGCAGATTTAAACACTTTTCACCGTAGTTGCATTTCCCTTTTAGGTGGAAACCACATATTTCTTTGCCTTGGTGGTTGACAGATGCAGTTGGGGGCTGAATTGCTGGAAATGTTGGCGCCATCATCAATGGGGTCTTTGGGTGTGACTTGGCGTGTGGTGACAAGAGGCTGTCGCCTGAATGAAGAGAAGAATCCGAGCTTGAACTGGAGGTCCGCTTTCTTTCTCCTCTCTTCAAAAGAGTTAAAAGATGCTGTAGTGGCAAATTTCCCATGCCAAATTTTTTTAAGATTTCGTTGTTATGAGAATCCCTTGTGAGGTAATGAATTCTCTTGCACTCAAATCCAAATTTGCAATCACCATCTACAAAGTGGCGGCACACGTGCAAAAATGGACATTTTTCATTTTTAGTGCACCCTCCTTCGTTGTTGTAGAACTTGCATATATTGGGAACTGCATGGCTTGCTGCGCCGCGTTCAATTTCTGTGTCAGCTAAAATCTTTTGAAGAAGTTCGCGCCATAGTGAATCATCTATCTCACCAAGTTCGATGGCTTGCAGCAAGGACATTGTATGCTCACCCCTGATATTGTGAGAAAGACGGCATTTTTCTTTAAATTTGCACGTTCCCTTGATGTTATGAGGACATAAATGCAAATTCGTACACTGACGTCCTCTGGGACAGCTCCCCTTGGCAGCGTCTTGACAGAAAGCAAGTGGAATAATGGCTTCCACGAAGGTACGCGTCTGATCTCTCTGAACTTTGAGAATCTTCGAAAAGTATGTCTCGATAAACTTTGCCGCTCCTCTATGACGGTTAATTTCTTCATAATTTTGACGTCTAAGAGCAGATACTGCTTGTTCTAAATCCATAACTCCACCGTTTTTGCAGACGATGGTGAAGAGTTCCATCGCTGCCTTGTTCTTCCGGCTACCTGGCTTCTTTGACATAGCTGCCTCGATCGAAATAAGTGAAAGTTATCCTACTTTAAGATAGTTCCCTAGCGTCAAAGATCAACTTTATGTGAGCTGGTACATTTTATTCCACGAAGAAATCCAGGTGAGCTTTTCCGAGAAGTGAAGCACTTCCGCCTACTTGTCCCCAGTCTCTACACAGGACACCCAACTATAAGAGGGAAAGAACTTCTAATAAGCAGATTTGGGTAGGGGCTATTTCGCCTAACTCAGAACGACGTCCCGAAAATTACGTCATCATCGTGTTTCCGACGTTCAATGCCTTCGGCCTTGCATATATTAACTCTTCAAGGAGCAAAAACTATTTTAGTAAAAAGTATCTGAGAGATACGGGTATGTTACAAGGTTAAAATCATTCTATTCCGCAAATATAAGGGAAAGACCAATAAAAGTGTTATCGCGAGAGGAAAATATAACAGTTGAAAATGCAGTTTATACTAAATAAATGCTATGATTTTAAACTATGCAAAGCCTGTCTTTGCTTTCTGTCATTATTGCTCTTCAATGGAAAACCTTTATGTTCTAATAAAAAATATGAAACAGYAATTTTGTTGTATGTAAATTCCAATCAAACTCAGAATAACGAAATGTCGTTCTGAGTTATACGAAATAGCCCGTGGTGACAACAAACGCTGTTTCGCGTAACTCAGAATGACATTTCTGTCGAAATACATTTTGAAATCAACGTCATTGAATTTGATTTTTATACGTTAGAAATGATAAAAATAATACTGTCGATAGCAAATTTGCAAGAAACACCTTCGTAATTAAATGTCATAGTTAATATTTTATTTCACGTGGCAGATCATACGTGACATTGACCTCTCTYKCGTGACATTGACTGTCATTTTTGCGCGGRAACTTTGTAAAATCTACATGGASTCTATGATTGAAAGSAATTATGAATAATTTGAGTTACTTTACCGCACTTAGCCCAACTTTGGGTTACGTTGCAAATGAGGTTCAAGCAGCACATGCACTTAGAGAGTTTGAAACTCTTACTGCAAGTAAATTCACAGTTTACTATGACAAGTTTTTCACTAAAGGGGACAAGGTTTCTACAAAACAAGGTAAGGGGGAACACTACAGTATAATATATGTACATATTAATTAAACTAAATAGCAAAACAGTAACCAAAAAGTTCACTAGTTCAAAACTAGAGTTTTGTTTTAAAGAAACAAAGTGATGATCTGATATATATAAAGTTGGCATATTCATTAATATACTATATAGTTTTGTACTAAACAGTACAAAATGTACTTTGCACACAGACACTTTAAAAATACATGTTAGTTTTCTCTAGTTTTAGTAGGGCTGTGATGAATCTTAATAGGCAAAAAAAAAATTAGACTCACTGTCTTACATGTATTTGTATCACAAACTGTTATGTTTTGGGGCAATTACATATAATTGGTATAGAAGTGCACAAGACTGCAAGGGTTGAAAAAGCTCTACTTTATTCTGTTTCATCCCTACATGGAGTACAAATAATTAATATTTTCATGGTTTAAATTGATGAACGATTCAGTTCAATCATTCCCTTTCTTGCAATGGCCTCATGCATCAATTTATCACATGGTACAAACCCACCATACTGGCAAAAGAATGTAAACAGATTCAAAAGTCATTCAGACTTGATGTTTCTCGGTTTTGGAKGTGCCTGTGAGCATTTTTGCCATACAATATGGTGGATTTTATACCATGTGACCTTTTCCTGCAAATAGCTTATATATCTGTCATATATATTGTAGAACTGTGATTTCATGTAGCCTGAAAGAAAAATAAATACATTAGTTCTGATGTCATTAGTCAATTTACATAACACAATGAATACAAAACCCAACAAACTTTTATTCATTTACTTTTGAATGAATGTTGAAAACAGGAAATGAAGACCACAAAGTATACTTCAAGGATGGCCAAATTGWGTATGATGGTATTCCATACATAATACAAGGGAGGAAGTCCTATGATTGCCAACATGGTATTGACCGAAATAAGGCAGACAAAAAAAGATATCAAAAAAGAACAGAGGTAATAAAAAGAAAGGAAAAAAATAGGTATATTTATATTTAGCATGTATTTTATTTTTATTTAATGAATAATGATCAATGTACTTTGTTGCAGGTTAATGATGACCATTTTACAAAAAAAAGAAGATTTCTAATGCAAAATACTAAAAAGTTTGGCTGCACCGCAAGAGTTGTTATGCGCATAGTGGACAGATTTCCAGCATACAAGGTACACTTAAATAGCATGCAAGCATGTATAGATTAGAAATAAAGTACAAGCACTAYATAAACGTGTTCCACTAAGTTCATTGTTTTTTGTTGTTGTTGTTTTTTCTTTCTAAATGTGAATGTATATTTGCATTTATATATTRTTTATAATTAGTAATATTTATCAAAATTAACTATATATTCTGTGTTATGGATTAATGACTAGTAACAAATATGGCTATTTATACCAAAACAGATTGAAAAAGATTCTGAGAGAAGAAGGCGGACAGCATCGGAGAAGTTGAAAAATGATCTTAAGAACAATTCAGTAAAAGGGTCCAGAGAAACAAGAATTTATATTGAATTTCCTAATGCTAGTGATCACAAGGACCACCCCATTGGTGAGGTGAGCACACATGGAAAATGTGCTTGATGGTTTATGCGATAATAATGTGCTGAGTAAATTATATAATTTTAAGCTGATAATATTAACTGATTACAATAAAATATTTTTTAGGCAAGTGGTTTATTGCAACAAATAGATTCAAGACTTATCAAAAAAGTCCAGGAGCTTGCAACAACAGAGGGGATTACAAGTGTCAATGAGATGAAGAGACATCTTGGAACTTTTGTCAAAAATGACCTATTCCCTGACACAACACCTTCCACCCTAAATAGGCGATTCTTTCCATCTAAGAAAACAATTAAAAACCACATGTATCGTGCAGTTATGAAAGAGCAACTCTCAAACATAGACCAACAAAATCTAGAGCTAAAAATTGAAAACTGGAAAAAAGAACGACCAACAGACAATTTCCACTTCAGACCATATGTCGAAGCAGATGAGAAAGAGCAGAAAGCTGAGGTTGAGCCTAGAGCTGATGGAGATGATGATGTGAAGATTGACCTGGGAAAGAAAGGACTCCTTTTTGTCCATCAGGTATTCAATTAATTTTAAAATAAATTGTTTAATTTAATATAGTTACACTCGTATTTACTTTTAGTCAAAGTCACCACCTTGACTTAATTTTATGTGTTTACATCATAAGCTGAAGTTAGCCTCAAGTTAAGAATAAAGATACTGTAAAGAGAAAAGAACTTCAAATAATAATTACTATATACAGTGTTATTGCAATTTGTTTTACTTTCCATCATTATTATTATTATTAAAATTATAAATAAGAGCTATTGTGTTTATTCTTTATAGACTGAATGGCAAAGAGAATTGATGATTCGCTATGGAAATGAATTGACACTTTTGGATGCCACATATAAAACTACAAAGTATGCTTTACCGCTGTATTTTGTTGTAGTCAAAACTAATATTGACTACCAAGTTGTTGGCTCCTTTGTCACGCAAAGTGAAACATCAGCAGGGATTAAAGAGGCCTTGACACTCATTCACAGTTGGTCTAACAGCCAATGGCAACCACTGTATTTTATGGTTGACTGTGCCGAGGAGGAAATCACAGCAATTCAGGACATTTTCCCCAGTAAGAGTTATTGATYGGTCATATTTTTTATGGTCATGTTGTTTGTTCCATAAGTGCCTAGTGGCTAACAAAAACTTTGCTTATTAAATTAATCATTACTAAGATAATGATTAATACTAGCAGATAACACATTGTAAATGATATTCAATTTATACATGTATTCATTGTATTTCATTTTTGGGRCCTTATTTTAAAGTATTTATTTATYATTATTCTAAATGTACATCTTTAGGTTGCCAAGTATATATCTGTGATTTCCATAGAGAGCAAGCATGGGAACGCTGGCTATCTAAAGGGGCAAATGGACTTACACATAGAAAGGAATTTCTCTTGGCAAAGCTTAGAGCTATAGCCAGAGCAAGAACAGAGAAGGATTGCAATGATACAGTAAAAAATCTAAAACTAACTGACGAGTGGCAGTCAAATGCAAATCTCAGAAATTGGATTGACAACACATGGCTAAGACAAAAGAAGGTAAAATTACCAAATGATATACTTTTGATATCAATACTTTGAATYAATTTATAATGMACTTATGCTATTTACATGCATCTTATTGTAGAGGTGGGTCTGGGCCTATAGAAAGGAGCGGCTCTTAGTTAACACTAATACTAACAATGGAGTGGAGCGCCAGAACAAGGCTTTCAAATATGATTACCTTGTTGGTAAAACAAAGCCCACATTGAGTCGGATGATCACAATTCTCATAGAAGATTTTTTTCCAGACAAATTTAATAGGTTWGTGTATTATACATGTACTACATAAATACATTCAGATGAATGCTATTTTTAGATACAGTAAACCATAGTAGTCAGAATAAAAATGGCAAATTGAAGCTATCAATACCTACCAATGTAAAATACAGTTGCTGCAATAAACCTTTTGCAAGAGTACTAGTCAATATTAATGATTATATTAAAAATTTATTAAAACTAAACTATAATATTGTACTGTAGATATGCAGAGGGAAATTGCAAACTCTCAAGCAGTTTCAGAAAGTATCATAAAGACATACCAGAATTCCTACATGATAGGCCAACATTTTTGGTCAGGCACTGCCAAGAAAGGATGGCCTCTGCAACAACTCTATCAAATGAAGACACAAAAAGGCACCCAAACAACCTAGCTGGCCATTTCAAAGTCAAGGGCTATGAGTTGCATTTTGGTAGTACAGATGAACTACCCCATTGTCAATGTTTAGACTGGGAAAAGACAAGGCTTCCCTGCAAACACTTTTTTGCAGTTTTTACATATTTCCCAGACTGGAATTTTCACAGCCTGCCAGAGCACTACAGGGAATCCCCCTTCTTGTCCCTTGACAAAAGTGTTATGTTTGGAAACTCTGACAGTAACAATGACACCAGTCCATCTTACAGCATTTCACCACCATCTCAAGAAGACACCACTTACTTTGATGATGAAGATACCCCCCCTGAAGAACAAAACCCAGAACAACACAAAGATCCTGTCAATGTACAATACAAAGCCATTCCAACAAGAAAGAGGCTTTTCAAGACAGTAGCTACAAAGTGTAGGGATCTTCTTCACCAGATCAGAAACTTAACCTATCTCACAGAAGATACAGTTGTTGTGGAGGAAATTAATGAAATATTAATTGATTGTCTAAAAAAACTGGAACAGTCTGCCCCACGATCAAACAGCCTGATACTTGAGTCCACTGAAAAAGAAAGAAAGCAAAAAAAGAAACAAACTAATCCAATGCCTGCCAAAAAGTTTAAACCAATTCCAAAACCATTGAAAACAAAACATCCATATAGTGGAAGTGTTGGTGAGAGGGCGCAGATAATGAAGAAACAATTGAATGTGAACATCAATGTCCCGAGTTATGATGCACCTCCTCACAAGAAAATCAAGCAATCTGAGATGATAATCGAGGAACAAGTACAAGCGGAGTTAATTCACGATATTAATGAGGATTGTTTTGAGGTTTATGAGGACGCTGTATTGGTAGATGAATGCGATGACGCTGTATTGGTAGATGAATGTGATGGTCTTTGTGTTGATGGTGGCAAAGTGGTAGGAAGTACATGTTTTGTTGACGTTAATGAGAGTGAGGATGTACCCATCATGGAGGTTCAAGGTGGGAGCATGGGTACTGCTGATGTTGATAGTGAAGGTAGTGAAGGAGTTGTAGGTGTGGAGGAAAGAAATGCCGTTGAAAACTTAAATGAGGCCGACACATTGATAAATGAATTAAATGATGATGG